AATGAATTACAGAGAGAGATCTTCCATCTGCTAGTTCACTTCCCAAATGGTCACAAAAGCTGGAACTGGGCTGATCTGAAGCCAGGAGCCAGGAACTTTTTCCGGGTCTCCCACTCAGGTGCAGGGGCCCAAGGACTTGGGTCATCTTCTGCTGCTTTCCCAGGCCATAGCAGGGAGCTGGATTGGAAGAGGAGTAGCCAGGACTTGAATGGGCGCCCATATGGGATGCTAGTTCTGTAGGCAGTGGCTTTACCCACTACACCACAGCACCGGCCCCTCATTCTTTTTTTTTTTTTTTTTTTTAAGATTTATTATTCAAAGGGAAAAGTGGGGGTAGGGAGAGAGACAGAGATTGAGATTCTTCCATTCTCTCTAAATGGCGGCAACAGCTAGGTCTGGGCCAGGCTGAGGCCAGGATCCAGGAACTCCATCCTAGTCTCCAACATGGATGGCAGAGGCCCAAGCATTTGAGCTACCTCCATTGTATTTTGAGGCACATTAGCAGAAAGCCAGAATAGAAGTTTAGAGTAGCCCAGATTCAAACTGGCACTCTGATAAGGGATGCGAGTGTTGCAAACAGCAACTTAATTTGCTGTAGCACAATCCTGGCTCCTGTAACTCATTCCTGAAAGACCTTTTGTTTCTTACTAAATAGGAAATCTCAACTTTTTAAGAAAAGTCAGTGCTGACCTAACAATTACTATGAATATGATATTTTATTTACCTCTATAGAGATAATAACTACTTTAATGACTACAAAAACCTCTTAGGTAGATAGCAACATCACTCATATTTGAGGGATGAGACGACAAAGCTGTTAATGGAGGGTGAAACAGGATATGAAGCCAGGCACTCTGATTCAAATGCCCCAGCTAGCCACGGCACTGTAATGACTCACATGAACAACAGCAAACAGTAGACCTAAGAATGTCAACCCAGATGCCCAGACATCAGTAAATGTGTAGAATCTGGTCACTGCCAAAAGCTGTGGGATTGGTTTTCTTTTTCTTCTAGAACTGCACTCTCCGATATGCTAACACATGACTAGTGAATATGCGCAATGTAGCTAGCCTAAATTTAGAGACACAGTGATATGAAACATATCTGATTTCAAAGATTTGGCATGTAAAAGAGTGTAATTGTTAATATTTTTTAATTTTAATATTTAATTACTTAACATTGGTATGTTAAAATATTATTTTGAATGCATGGAGTTAAACAGGTCTGTTATTTAAATAGATAATACCTTTTTGCTTTTCACATACAAAATCACCATGAAGACTGAGTGGTATTTCTCTTGGGTGGTGTTGTTCTAGAAGGGTGTACTGTGGCTGGAAGAGAAGCATGGAGCAATGGTGTGTGATTCGAAAAAAGGATCATGGTGGATGCTGTCTCTGAGGAGCATGGGTCAAAGATAAAACAGAGAAGGAGCCAGGTGTTGCTAAACCCGCCAATTACAAGCATTTAGACCGCTCTTTAGGGAACACAGATATAGTTAGCAGTAACCTGAAGGTACAGCTGGTGATTCCAAAGAAACTGGTTGAAAACAAACAGGGATAGCAGGAACAAGGAATGAGTTCATTTTTATTTTTAACCTGAAGTATGTCTTTGAAGAAACAGGTCTATGAAGTTCTTATTAGAAATGAAGTCCATTCTATGTGCACCTTCCCATCCACAGATGAGTGGCTATTTCTCATACATATTTTATCTGGTACAATGTATTTTTATTTTCCCAACAGAGCTCCTCAGGATATGCAACAAAATTACTCCAATATTGATAATCAATTTATATTACCTATGTCCAGTAAAAGTCCAGAAAATAATTTATAGTCTTTAGCCCTCCTTCCCCGGATTAAAATAAACCAGAGTCCTGAAGGGAGGACCTGTAGGAATTCAACAGCAAGTACTTCAAGAGAAGGCCTAGGTCTAATTTAATTCTCAGCATTCAGGCAAACGCTGGTTACACAGTAAGTAACCAGTAAATCTCCACTAAAACCCTAGAGAATGACAGTCCATGGATGTAAGCAATATGCGAGATCAGAGACTAGGCATTTTAGACTAACAAGCTCACTGCTACAGTGATGACCAAGCAAATGAGCCAAGTACTTGGACGTGTCAATCTGTGAGTTGGAAACATCTCCTCAAATAGGGCTTCATAGTATTTTTTGACCCTCCTCTATCTGTAGAAAGAATGCCTTAAAAAGAATTAATCCTGAGTTCCAAAAGACCTTTGACAAGTTTTTCATATACCTTTTAACAATACAGGGAAACAGTAGGCAAGATGACAGAGCGATTGGAAGGCTTTAGTTATCAGTAGAAAAATTACACAGAAGACAGTGTTTGGGGGATTGAGGTCAATCTAAAAAAATTCCCTAGTAGTGTACCAGGAGTTCCTCCTGCTCAATACTTTTCTTCGGTGAGTTGAGCAAAATAAAAGGCATATTTACAAGTAACATAAAGCTGGAAGGGCTAAGCATCACATTAAATGTCATAAAGAGTCTCCATTTGGGGTAGGACAATGTCTGAAAATGGTATGATGAAATCTAACAGCAATAAAGGTAGCTTTGGTAATTAGATATAAAAATAAGTCATAATTACAAATAAAAACATAAAAATGCAAAAAACGGAGGATAACAGAGACCTAATCTGGCAGCAACTCCTGTGTATCAGATCACAGACAGAGCAATGTGAAAGCAGCTTAAAAAGCTCACTTCAGGATGCTGTGCTAAATAAAATTAATTCTCTTATATTTTGTACCAGCCAGCCCACATTCAGAGCATCATGACGAGGAATTCTGGGAACACACAAAGGAGAACAAGTAGCATAGTGGAAAGGATTACAGCGGCTTTCTGAGAAGAAAAAGCCTACTGAAGACGAAATATTTAAACTCTTCACTCTGTTGGGAGCAGGTATTTGGTTATCTGTCAAGATGCCCACCTCCCACAATTGGAGTACCTGGTTCCATTCTCCACTCTAGCTCCTGACTCCAATGTTCTGCTAACGCAGATCCTGAGAAGCAGCGGTGATGGCGCAAGCAATTGGGTTTCTGCTATCCAGGTGGGAGATCTAGACTGAGTTCCCAGCTCTTGACTTCAGCCCTGCTCCAGGCGAGACCACTGCAGGCATTTGAGGAGTGAACCAAAGTGTGGCAGCACTTGGACTCACTCTCCTGCCCTCCCTCCTTCCTCTCTCATACATATATACATACTTCCTTTTTAAAACCTCCGCTCTCTTGAGAGCTTTCCATTAGAAGTGGTGCGGTACACTCATCCTATTTTCCAGAAGGTACATTTTTGAGCAGTGGAGGGAGCATAAATCCCCCAGGACAAAAATCACAGACACATACATATACACATTTACAAATAGCTTCATGGGACTCTAAACCAGTTTAGAAGTTAGTTTATAAATTTAGAATGCCTTAGTTCTTAGTTTAGAAGTTGTAAAGACCTGGGTTTCATTTAAAAAGGTACTTTGTATGTTTGTTTTTAATCTCCAAAGCAAGATCCCTGATCAAGGAAACCAACAGGAGAATTTAATCGTGGACAGAGGAAGTAGGGGAGGAGACCAGAGGAGCAGGTAACCTAAGTGTGCCTTGTCAAAACTAGGATTCCCCAGTCTAAAAGAATTTTTTAAAAATAATTTCACAATAGCAACACCCATGATTGGACAGTAAGCAGATCAAAGTACTGCAGAGTGATGCTTACTTCTTTAAACCAAGTTCTCAGCAGGAAAAGCTTTCTATCATTCTTCTGAGAAGGCATTTCCTGCGTTTTGTTTGAATTTTATTTAAATTCTAAATGCTAGTTCTGCTAATAATCTTGAAGCACCTCCAACCCTGAAATAATTATGGACACATTATATGTAAAATTGTTTTCAGCGTTTCCTACCCACAATCATATTAAGCCATAATGAGGTTTTACAAATGTCTGTTGCACACACACAGTGCTGCTGCTTAGAAATGAATTTCATAATGACTAAGCATTCAATAGGGCCGTGACCCTCAAGGAGAAGCTGTGTATGTGTGAATGTGTGAATGTGTGTGTGTGTACTTCTTTAACAGAACCCCAGTGACACATATTATTCACTCCAGCTTTTTCTACTAGGATGGAAAGTCATGATGTTACTGCATCCTTTTATTTCTCTATGCTCTCCAATTTCCATTGTTTCAATTCCCCATTCAAATCTGTCTTTCAAAATGCAAAAAGAATCTATGAGCAGTGAAAGACTTCGTGTAATATGGAGGTTCTTCCCCCCTCCCTTCTTCATTCAAGCATTGCTTTCCAGGAAAAAAGATTAATGGCAGTGGACCTATTTTCTGTGGAAAGGACTGTCAAATTCCATCAAAATCCGTCCTATCTCTCCCTTAGTTCTTAACACAAGAAAAGACATCCACACACTCAGGAGCCAGAGACAATATCAGGGGTTATTTTTGAGTTTTACCTTCCATCTGCTTTAGCTATAAACACAGCTGATGAGGAGAATTACTCAGCACAGTGGTTTGCAAACCAGCAGAATAATCAGGAAGATTTAGCAATATAGATTGCTAAGCCTCATCTCTGGATTTTGACTTGGCCAGCAAGGGGTTAGGCCCAACAAATGTGGGTGCCTAAGACATTCCCAGGTGCGGTTGCTGCTGCTGGTCCAGGAACAGCTTTTTGTGAACCTCTGGCGGAGGAGGTCCCTAACACACAACCTGTAGAAGCACCACCCTTCCTTCCTTCCTTCATTCAACCTCCCACAGATGAGGTGCGTCTGTCATACTCTAGTGTCTCCAATGACAAGCAGTATTCTGGGCTACAGGACCTAGGGAAGCCTCATCCTTTCCGAACCATCATGTGGAAAACGAGTAAAGAGTGCAACTTTCTTCTGGACGGAGATATCAGACTGTTTCTCGAGTCCCTCTCCCGCTACCTTTAAACTTCTCACTAAGTGCTTGGAGTGAAATTCCCAGCTTACATAAAAGGGGTGGCTCTGTCATTCAAGAAGACTGGCATACTCACCAGAGAGGAAATATACCCAGTCGGGTGGTGATGAAAACCATGGCAAACATAACAAACAGGAGATCACACATTTTCTGAAACTTGGCATAGTTTGCCATTTTGGCAGCCTGTGAAAGGAAGGAGTGTGACATATTAATTTAGTTAAGCTGATAAATGAAAAGTTTCTTTCAATATGCATGAGTTCCCTATAAGATATAACTTATGAGGGGCATAAAATTGCCTGCTACTTTGAAATGTCATGCACCACGCATCAGTATTTATAAATTACCCATAAGTTGAGCGAAATGCAGCATTAGCCATAACTAGAACTACTGACTATCACAGATTTAATGCAATATTCAGCAACCTGAAAAATTCAATTATATGGTTGATTTCAGGAAAACAGAGAGAAAAATAAGAAATTCTTGCATTATAGATGACATTAGCAAGCCAAAGGCACCATCACAGAAATTTGGCATAACGGGTCAAAACAGAAAGCACTGGATAATCCTTTAAACCTTTAATGGGCTCAGAATACCAGGGCCACAAACTTTGTGGAGACTATGTGGAGCTTTTATGCATTTTTCTTCCTTTCTTTGTAGAATTACAGGTTTTCTCTGAACAGAGAGAGAGAGTACTGGGGGAAGACAGTTTCTTGGCTTACTTTCACAAACTTAGAAATGAAGAAAGTGTCAAGATCATGTTATTTCAACTAATCCATTGAGGTAGAATTTTCAGTTACGTTAATGACTCATTTTCTAGATGAAAGTCACTAGTGGTCAGAGTATCTGTGAGAAATACGCCTACAACTTATGACAGTGATTTAAGTGACCACACTGTTTGTTACAAATTAGTCTGCGGGAGAAATTACATCTCTTTCTCTACAATCTATTTTTTTTTTAACAGATAATCTAAGCAAGAAAATGTGAGACACAAAACACGATTTTGCTTGATGATCTCTTTTCACATTTTTGCAGAGTTTGCAGCACCTGCACTTAGGGTTCTAAACTGACGATATCTTCTGAATTCATAACATTATTTTCTACTTGGAAATTTAAATCAGCTGAGTCAACCTTGAAAAAGATCGTTGACAGTATCCAAAGAAGTTACAATTTAATACTTAAAGTAAAGCACAGAGCCATGAGAGAAATGCATTGTAGGGGCTGGTGCTGTGGCATAGCAGATAAAGCTGCCACCTGAAGCGCCGGCATCCCCTATGGGTGCTGGTTTGGGCTCCCGCTGCTCCACTTCCGACGCAGCTCTCTGCTGTGGCCTGGGAAAGCAGCAGAAGATGGCCCAAGTGTTGGGCCCCTGCACCCAAATGGGAGACCTGGAAGAAGCTCCTGGCTCCTGGGTTTGGACAGGCACAGCTCTGGCTGTTGCAGCAATCCGGTGAGTGAACCAGCGGATGGAAGACCTTTCTCTCTCTCCCTCTCTCTGCCTCTGCCTTTCTGTAATTCTGCCTTTCAAATAAATAAATAAATCTTAAAAAAAAAAATGTATTCCAAAGGGGGATATCTATTAATGGAGTGGAAGCCAGGATTATCAGCTTTGAATTTCACGAATACTTTGGATGTAACATGTAATTATGTTAAAAGAAAGTGCTCCTTCTGCTTTCTTCTGGCTAGGTAAGCCATGTTATTTTCTTTTATATTCATTCACTAGACTTCAGCAAATAAGCATTAAGCATTGACTCTTCCGAAATGTCCAAGGCTGTGGAGCTCATTTTGAAGGGCTGACAGTAGACATAGCTCATCAACTGGACAGCCTCAAGCATTATTTTATAATGTTAAAGAGAATCCAGGTGGTGAAGAACATTTGCTTTAAGCCACATAACTGGGATTCCTGCATTGTTTTTTTTTTTTTAATGGCTAAAAGTAATAGATGGTAATTCAATTAATATTTTCTGAATCATGACTCTAACCACCATTTCCACAGGCATTAAGGTCAGCTGGTTGTACAGGATTGATTTCAAAACTCAGGTTGCTGTGTAGATTTCTACTTCTAAGCAAAGTTAATATTTAAACAAATGGTAACCGATTTTCAGGGAACTTCCATATGCTAATCACATTCTCCTTTAACATATGTTGAATTGAGTTGAGCTTGAATCACTTGAAAATCAGAGTGCCAAATGATTACCTGACTTATCTGGAGTATGAGGAGTATTTTTCTTAAAGGGACCAGTATAATTAATAAGTACTGTATTTACTTCAAATTTTAATTGCTTTTATAGTAGATTAAGTTTTATGGCCTAGGATTTCTGCTTATAGAGCAATAACAGATCATTGGAGGGCATTTCTATATTCACAGTAACAGTAAATGTTTCTTTTTTTTTTTTTTAAAGATTTTTATTTATTTATTGGAGAGGTAGAATTACAGACAGTGAGAGGGAGAGACAGAGAGAGAGGTCTTCCTTCTGTTGGTTCACTCCCCAGATGCCTGCAACGGCCGGAGCTGAGCTGATCCAAAACCAGGAGCCAGGAGCTTCTTCCCAGTCTCCCATGTGGGTGCAGGGGCCCAAGGACTTGTGCCATCTTCTACTGCTTTCCTAGGCCATAGCAGAGAGGTGGATTGGCAGAGGAGCCGCCAGGACTAGAAACAGTGCCCATATGGGATGCCGGCACCACAGGCAGAGGATTAGCCTACTGTGTCACAGTGCTGGCCCCAACAGTAAATGTTTCAAAGGAGGTAAAATTGTGGTCCAACAGTAACAAAAAATCAGAATACAGATTCTAAGACCCATTTCTACATGGAATTTATATTACTATAAGCTAATTTTGATCAGCTATATATATTTCTTAATATAAAGTGAAAAAACTTTTGTTCAATCATATATTATGGAATATGACTTTGTACATCATTAAGAATAAGTGCCAGATCAAGATTTGCCTTAGGAATTTTAAATGTTTTAGAATATTTTAGTTATTTATTTATTTGTCTTATCACTTTAATAATTCTAAGCTATAAGGGTTTAGAAATTTATTTTAATATAACCAGTATTTCCACACTCTTTTTGTATTTTTATGCAAAGAAAACATTTCTATTTATAATTTGCAATTCATATACATTTTTCACCGTAAAAATACTAGAGCGATATGTGTGTTAGCAAAAAAAATTATGATGAGGGGCTGGCATTGTGGTGCAGCAGGTGACACTGGCATTCCATATGGGCACCAGTTCATATCCTGGCTGCTTCACTTCCAATTAAGCTCCCTGCTAATGACCTGGATAAAACAGTGGAAGATGGCTTAAGTGTTTGGGCCCCTGCCACCCACTTAGTGATCTGGATGAAGCTCCTGGCTTTGGCCTGGCCTCTCCTGGCTGTTGAGGCCATTTGGGGAAGTGAACCAGTAGATGGAAGATATATATGTCTCCCTTTCTTTCTCTGTCTTTCCATCTTTGTCACTCTGACATTAAAAATAAATAATATCAAAGAATTATGATGAATACTTAATTTCACTGGTATATACAGCTCCCTTTAATAAACAGCTACATACCTTTTCCATATAAATCAGTATGAAACTTTTTACACAAGAAAGAAAACCTATTCAAATAATGGTCTTTCTATTGTGAAATCATACATTCCTTAAGAGTCAAGTAGTAAAGATTTCCATTGTTCTATTAATCTAGAATGCTAACATGATGGCCTTTTTAAAATTAAAGTTTATATTAAAGTCTCATTATCACCAATTTAATCCACAAAGAAACCCTGCAATTTCAAAGCAGTCCTATTGTCCCTAAGCATCATATAGCATAACAGAGGACTACTGATGATCTTGAGTACTTCCTCAATTCTGGATTTTCTTTTTTATTTTTTTTAAAATTTATTTATTTGAAAGGCAGAGTTAGAAAGAAGGGGACAGAGAGAGATCTTCCATCCACTGGTTCACTCTCCAAATGGCTGCAAAGGCTAGTGCTGGGCCAGGACAAAGCCAGGAGCTTCTTCCAGGTCTCCCACGTGGGTGCAGGGGCACAAGTACTTGGGCCACCTTCTGCCATTTTCCCAGGCACATTAGCAGAGAGCTGAATTGGAAGTGGAGCAGCTGGGACTCGACTGGCACCCATTTGGGATGCAGGCTCTGCAGACAGCAGCTTTACCCGTTGTGCCATAGCGCCAGCCCTGCATTTTATGTTCTTAAAGATGAAAGAAATCTCTTACCTCTAGAAGTGCATCAGCTGAATCATGAAGACAAAGGACAAGGGTGCCTACTCGGGCCATATTGTTGACATATGAAAAGGTAATCAAGAAAATAGTTACAAGGTGGTGCAGGAACATAATGCCAAAGTCCTTGAGGAAGGAATAAAGAAACAGCCATATTAGGGTTTAGCAACATCACATTTCCATTCATTCACTCAATCATTGAACCAATGCTTACTAAGAACCTCCATTGACATAGCACTGGGGATACTAAAATGATAAAAATATAATTCCTATATTCAAAAAGCCCACCATATAACAGGAGAGACTCACAGGAGACAAGTGACTATGGAAAGTGTGATTGATGCTGGGTCAGAGGCCAAATCATAAAGGGTATGTTGTACTAAAACCAGGAATTTGAAACTATGGGAGAAATAATCGCAAGATTTCAAAAGAAGAAAACTACTTGGATTTGAACATTAGGAAGATTCTGGAGGTGCAGGTGGTATTTTTGCTTGGACTGTGGCATCTTTGTTGGGGCAACAGGCTATGGCACTAGGACACAGGACCTCTGGGAGGCATTGGGTCATGAAGCCAGAACCCTCATGAATGGAATTAGTGTCCCTTTTGGCACATGAAGATGCAAATAGAAGCTGCCCTCTATGAATCAGGAGACAGGCCCTCCCCAGATATCAGATCTGCCAGTGCCTTGTTTGATTTTAGACTTCTCAGCCTCCAGAGCTGTGTAGGAAATTAACTTCTGTTCTTGGACTGTGCATCTCAATGTTAGCATCATTCCTTGGAATATCCCCATTGAAATCCTAATATAGTGGCTTTTCTAATGGGTACTACACAAATGAGCCCTGAATTTTAAGTATTATCAGCCCATAGTAATTAAAATTAATATTTGAAGAATAAATAGAATTGACCATCCTTATTTTGGTCAGCTTCAAATGAGGTGTTTCTTGGTGTGAGTGAAAGGATCCTCCTTCTTTGATATTACTTCCTCACTATCTGGATATGGTTTGCTGTGATATGGGATTTCTGTTCATTAGAAATCCAGTCTCTCTTTTACTGACATTTTAATTCGAGTCTAGCTTTGTGCATAATAAACTTGAGTATCTCTGGAACTTAAACGCCAAGATTGGCCCTAATGTAGCTCTACTTGAAGGCTTTGGACTCCCTTACAGACGTTCATCTAGAGACAAATAAATCAAAGTGAAAAGCATGTCACAAAACTGACCTATGAACAGATCCTGCTTGTGAGAAAGAGCAACCTTGGGGTGAAATCTGGAGGATTTTTTTTTCTAAATTTCTATCCTAGGAGGTCAATATTCATTTACTCACTAAAAGTCCTTTTTGAGTATGTACTGTGTTTCCAACACTGTTTTAAGCTTTGAGGATAAATAAGCTAACAAAACAGGTGAAGATTTCTGCCCCTGTGAAACTTAATATTCTAGTGAGGGAAACAGACAATAAATGCAATAAGCAAATGGTCTTTCCTGTTGCAAGGTAGAAAAATCCCACAGGGGAGCGCAGGATCTTGTGATACGGAGGGTAGTAGGTCCCAGCTGCTGGGGGCAGCAGACTGCAATACCAGAAAGTAGGGTCAAGGTACACCTTTGTAAGAAGGGGGCTTCGACTCTTATCTTGTTTAGACACGGTCATAGTCAAAGTGGAGGTTCTCTCCTCCCTTCAGAGAAAGGCACCTCCCTCTTTGAAGACCTGTTCTTTCCACTGGGATCTCACTCACAGAGATCTTTTTGCCAGAGTGTCTTGGCTTTCCATGCCTGAAATACTCTCATGGGCTTTTCAACCAGATCCGAGTGCCTTTAGGGCTGATTCTGAGGCCAGAGTGCTATTTAGGACATCCGCCATTCTATGAGTCTGCTGAGTATCTCACTTCCCATGTTGGATCACTCTCCCCTTTATTTATTCTATCGGTTGGTGTTAGCAGATACTAGACTTGTGGAAACTCATAACTGGTGAATAGGGAGATTACTGATGCCATAAACAGGAGTGTCAATTGGTAAAGTCAACAACAGGAGTCACTGTGCACTTACTCCTCATGTAGGATCTCTGTCCTTAACGTGCTGTACACTGAGGCTTAATGCTATAACGAGTACTCAAACAGTATATTTCACTTTGTGTTTCTATGGGGGTGCAAACGACTGAAATCTTTACTTAATGTACACTAAACTGATCTTCTGTAAAAAAAAAAAAAAGAAAAAGAAAGAAATTATCAATTCCCAACTTGACTCTCACTGGGATTAAACATGACAATAGGTCAGATCTGATTTCATCATCATTTAAAAAAAATCATCTATTATTTTTCACTTTATGTTTCTGTGTGGGAGCAAACTGTTGAAATACTTACTTAAGGTATACTAAGCTGATCTTCTGTATATTAAGATAATCGAAAATGAATCTTGATGTGAATGGAAGGGGAGAGGGAGTGGGAAAGGGGAGGGTTGTGGGTGGGAGGGACGGTATGGGGGGGGAAGCCATTGTAACACATGAGACGTACTTTGGAAATTTATATTCATTAAATAAAAGATAAAAAAAAAAAAAAAAAAGAAGAAGGGGGCTTGAAGATAGGGAGTTAGTGACTCGGGTAGATGAGGGCAATGTTCCTGGCAAAGAAAACAAAAAAGGCCAAGGCTCTATCCATCATCTTTCTTTCCTAAAATATTCAGGGAAAAACAAGGAGGTCAGCGTGGCTGGAGTATGATAAGAGAGGGAGAGAGGAGTAGATGTTAGAGTGGCAACATTTTATTTTTTTCACCTTCTTCTTTCTACCTACTACCTTTACAGTTGGGTCTTCTCATCTGTGGGTTCTACATTCACAGATTCACCCAACCATAGATCAAAAATATTCAACAAGTAAGTTGCACCTATACTGAACACATTTAGACTACTTCCATTGCTATTCTTTAAACAATTCAGTAAAATAACTATTTATATTGCATTCATATTATATTAGGTATTATAATCTAGAGATGATTTAAAGTATATTGAAGATGTACAAAGGTTATAGGCAAATACCATTCCATTTTGTACAAGAGAATTGAGTATCCATGGATTTTGTTATCTGTAGGGAATCCTGGAACAAATCCCCAGGGATACCAAGGAATAGCTGTGTTTAAACGAGATTAAATAATTTTGTAGAATAGAGAAGGAATCACTCCATTATTTAAGTCTTGGTATATATCATTTCAGGTAATATTTATGCTCACAGATGGATTGGGAGGTTAAGGTGTCAGAAATAAAATTATTTGTGGGCTTTAAAAAACTTGATTTATCACATTTGAATGTTACAAAGCACTTACAATTACTCATTAATTTTACTCCCAGACATTATCACAATGAAAGAGGGCTGAGTTTTAAGTCTCACAGGTATCTTTGCAATTCCTTTGAAATACACATCTTTTTTTAAAAGATATATTTATTTATTTGAAAGGCAGAGTTACAGAGAAGCAGAGAGAGAGAGAGAGAAAGAGAGAGAGAGGGAGGGAGGGAGGGAGGGAGGGAGGTGTCTTTCATCCACTGGTTCACTCCCAAAATGGCTGCACTGGCTGGAGCTGAGCCAATCAGAAGCCAGGAGCCAGGAGCTTCTTCTGGGTCTCCCAAGCAGGTGCAGGGGCCCAAGGACTTGGACCATCTTCCACTGCTTTCCCAGGCCATAGCAGAGAGCTGGACTGGAAGTGGAGCAGGCTTTACCGCTATGCCACAGCGCCAGCCCCTGGAACTATCCTTAAGTTTGCTTTGAGTCAGTGTGGGCAAGAGTTGCAGATGTTCAGCAAGCTAGTCTGAGTTTGTCCTCATTGACACTGGCACCAGCAGCGAGGTCAGGCAGAATTCTCAGCTCCTTGCAGATTTAATTTCATCTTTTACCTGAGGAGAACGCGGAGGCTCTAGAGGGGTCTCCTTTCCCTCTGCAGCCACTTTGCTTTCACAGCTTTTGTCCTGCTCCTTGATTCACTGGATGAAAGGGTCCCTTGCTTCTGGGCCTTGATGTGTTGTAACCTAGCTCCATGGTCATCTTTCCCACAACTCAGAGTATACTCTAATTTCTATCCTCCAGTTCAATTTAAACAGCTAGGTTTTGCTGAGTTTGTCTGTGATTAAGGCAATTTCTACTTTAAAACAAAAGACCAAGAAAGTGAAAACCAGGGTCTTGTTGATGTGTCTGAACTCCCAAAGAATGTATGCATTTTATTCATCTCCCTGGACAATTATGAGCCACATATTGAAGGAAGCCAATCTATAGTCCAGGCTCCAATTCTAAATATTTTTTAAAATTTTTGTTAAGAGTATTAGCTTACTCATCTGTAGAATTAAGAGACTGAATCAGGTTATCTTTAAGCTGTCAGTTCTATAATTCTAGCCCTGTTAGCTACACTTGGAGTCTTTAATCTACTAACTCCATATCCATAAATTAGAATGAGACAGATAAACAGACATGCATCCTTCTCATTCAGTAGTCCAGTAGCTGTTGACATCACTACAATTTGTCAACTTGAAGTTTTGAGATCAATTTTTTTAAAGATTTATTTATTTGAAAGTCAGAGTTACATAAAGAGAGGAGAGGCAGAGAGAGAGATGTCCTCCATCCACTGGTTCACTCCCCAGATGGCCACAATGGCCAGAGCTGTGCTGATTCGAAGCCAGGAGCCAGAAGCCCCTTCCAGGTCTCCCACGTGGGTGCAGAGGCCCAAGGATTTGGGCCATCTTCTACTGCTATCCCAGGCCATAGCAGAGAGCTAGATCAGAAGTGGAGCAGCCGGGACTAGAACCAGTGCCCATGGGATGCCGGCGCTTCAGGCCAGGGTATTAACCTGCTGCGCCACAGCCCCAGCCCCAGCCCGAGAGATCAATTTCAAAAAGTTTAATTGCTTCATTTGTTCTGTGTAGGGTGGGCACTGTGGTACAGAGGCTAAGCTACTGCTTGGGATGCCTGCATCCCATATCAAAGTGCCAGTTCCAGTCCTAGATTCTCTGCTTCCAATCCAATTTCCTGCTCATGCTCCTGGGAAGACAGCAGATAATGGTCCAAATATTTGAGTCCCTGCCACTCACATGAGAGACCTGGATGGAGTCCCAGGCTTCTGGATTCAGGCAAAACCATCACTGGCTGTTGTGGGCATTTG